GCGGTTCTCCCTCCCCACCCCCTCCGGGCTTACTCACCCTCTGCTCCTCTTCGCTCCCGGTTAGATGATGTGCTTGGGTTGGCGGCGAAAGCTAGACTGCACACGACCGATGACAACATCACCCTCCTCGTACATAAATCGGCGACGTCGCCGGTTGGGCGCTCTGGCGGCAGGACCACTCGTCTGCCGGATACTGGCGTGCCCCGTGTCTACGTGCCAATGCTGATGCGTCCGTGGGTCCTTCATGCATGCCATACCGCCGCGTCATTCCATCTCGGCGTCCATCGTACACAGCGTCTGCTCGAGCGCTTCTACTGGTGGATTGGTTTGGATCGTTCCGTGCGCTGGTGGCTTCGGGCGTGTTTGGTGTGTCAAGCTCGCAAGACTTCACGTCAGACTGCTCGGTGGCCCGTCATCGCTATGCCATTGCCGCAGGGGCCTGGTACGGTCGTCGGCGTCGACTTCTTCGGACCTCTGCCAGTGACTGCCAAGGGCAACTCCAACATTTTGTTGCTCACAGACCGTTTCAGTTGGAGAGCCGACATGTTCGCAGTTACAGCGGCGGAATTTACGGCGAGAGGGACGGCTCACATCTTCGTCAACCAATACATGACCAAGTGGGGATGTCCGACTTTGTTATTGTCGGACAACGGACTGCATTTCTGCTCGAAGCTCTCCATGGCGATCTACGAGGTGATGAAGATCAAGAAGGTCACCACCAGCTCCTCCCACCCACAGACCAACGGCGGCACGGAACGCGTCAAACACACGATGGCCCAGATGCTTGCGGTGGTCGTCAACGAACAGCCAAACGATTGGGACATACATCTCCCGCACGTTGAGTTTGCCTACAACAATTCCGTGAACCAGTCTACTGGATTAGCGCCAAAAGAGATCCACATCGGACGCATCCCGCGACTCCCGCTTTCAGTCTTCGATCATCCCACGGTAGGTGGTCATCAAAGCTTGGCCCGCGATCAACTCAAGTATTGCAACCTGGCTGTCGATCGCCAGCGCCGAGCCTACGAACTTGTCCGTGAGTACAACGCGCTGAAGATTTCGCGAGTCGAACGCCGAAATTCATCCCTGCTGGACGCCATTCGCAAGCTCCTTCAGTTTACGGTTGGCGGGTGGGTTTGGGCGTACAATACGGCTGCTTCAGTGCGACAGGGTGTACAGAAGGACACGGACCAACAGGTGCTCAAGGCCAAATTCGCACTTTCCTGGACGGGGCCCTACAAAGTTCTTGCGGTGGGTCCC